GTATTCAATTTATATATATATAACTTATTAAAGAACATTGATATTTTCAATTCAAAATTTTGATTAATTGTTCTTTATATCCAGTTGTATGTTTGTAATTAATTCACAATGATAATAAGATGACATGTTCATTTTCATAACGTTATTTAAAGTGGGTCAGAAGAAAACCATGAAAAAGTTTTCCATATATGATGCATATTCAGTCTTATGATTGATTGTACAGATGAAGAGGTTTATATAGACAGCACAAATACAATAATACTTAAAAAGCATTATAGGAGTAAATCCAATATGTAAGTTATAAAAATCTTTTATATGTAAAGCTTATAAAAAGCATCTAACAAATTAACCAATTGATATTTCAAGATAGTGTGAACAAATTAAAGCACTGTGTTTTACAAAATAGTTACTATTAACCAAATTGTGCTGTCTTCTCTGATATTCAGATCAGCCTGTGTTGTGTAGCTTCATATGGAGGGAGTTTCTGTAATGGTTCTGTAATTAATTTATGTCAGTGTGCCACCGTAGTATCACAGCAATTTACTGCCATACAAAAACTTTCATTTCCTCCATGCAAGGGATTGTAGGGGTTTATGAGTTAAAGAAAGACTGCAGACAAACCATTATTGATAAATATTATTGATTTTATCACAGTGGTCAACACAGGAGGCTAAAATTAATTTTGTAATTATAACAAAATATCTGAAAACACTGATTCACAAATATATCTGTGTACAGTATATATTTAAAAAATATGGTTGCTTTCACAAATATTAAAAGCACAACAATGGTGAAGTTAATTTTTCCTTCTTTAAAAACAGTTTAAAGAGTAAAAACAAATTAGTATTTAACTGATTCTGGCAGGAAGGTCATATGAAAAATCTAAGTCTAAATTGGCTATTATCTTAAAGTTCAAAACATAAGTTTCTATTCTGTGAGACTAATCACATTGTGAAAACATCCTTTAATTCATAATTTACCTTGTTGTCAAACACAGAACAGAATCTTCCTCTTTCTTTTCCATGACTGCCTTTTGTTCCTTGAAAGTATTAATGACAGGAGGATCGACAGCTTTGTCTCTGCAATTTCTATATTAATGTCTCAAAAAATAATAGTCTATCTTTCTCATTACTGTTAAATATGTTCTTGCACTGCTTTAGTTTTCAAAAGGCAATGAAACAAATAACAATCTCTGAATGTACAGATGAGCAGGCATGTTTAAAAGTAAAATATTTATATCAAAACTGACAGAAGGGCTTATGTTTCTCTAGGGAGATGAATCATGTTCTAGGCTTGACCAGTTTCCTGTTTTTAATCTCATAAGAACACTTGAGAATTAATGAAGATGAGCAGATGAAATTTTAACGTGTTGTGTCCCTGTGTCAATTTGATTAGAAAACTACAATGTTGCAACAAGACCTTTACTATTAATTAATCAGCTGTTCGTTTCTGGAAAATAAAAAAGACATAAATCACAGAACAATCCATGTACTCTAGCTGCCATTACAGAGACTGTCCAAACCTGTCTGGAAATGCCCCAATACGTCAGGCTCTCCAAACCAATCTAAATCACGAATTAGTTAAGACATGAAATAATTTCATTGTGAGACATCACATGGGTCCAAAGTCCCCATACCCCTCAGTCCTTAAATATCTGGGATTTCTGAAATAAACAGATTGCTTAAGTGATCAATAACATGAGGGTTTTCCCAATCATTAGGAACAGATGACCTATAAAACTAGATTGGGAATTACTAGGAGCAGGGTTGGAGACCCCTGAATTAGGGCTATCTGTAACATTACCTGCCTCCATAAGACTAGGTTTGGAGATCCCTTATTGAGGGTTAAATGAAAAAAACTGTATTGAGGCTCTCCAGGATCAGGGACAGAGACTCCAGCTATTAAACTGTGGACTTCTGGTTAACCTAAGACATGTAGAAAATAAAGTAGGGCAAATCATAGTGCATTTTAGACACTAGTAGAAGGAGCTGTTCACTGTTCGAAGGAGTTTGAAGTTTATAATCTAGGACTGACTGGATTTTCAATGTTTCCTGGCCATGTCGACACTGTGTTTACTGTGCAACAGCGACCCCCTGTGACTGGTCAAGTTCCTGCGTTTTGTAAAAGTAAATAACCTGAATGATCAATATTTTCTGGGAAACACTTAGAGTTTTTAGAATTGTAGGGAACAGAACGGAAGCTTATAAGAGCCATGGAGAAAAAGGAAATGTATATTTGAGATATCATTGCGTTAATATGAGAAAAGTATACTGTTTATACGAGGAAATTATTACGTTTATACAAGAAAATGATTGCATTTAAACACAATGGTTAATTTGTGAACATTGTTGCCTCCTATGTTAATACTGTATATTGTATTGTACTGTATATGAAATAATATTGTCCCGTGCAAAGTAGCATTGACTTTAACAACAGTAGAACATCATCACACTCCTCTTTTTGGAAAAAAATAATCTAAAGGAGTATGTTCTGTCTTTTGTATAGATGAAGTACAATACCATGTCAGTAAGCACTCCCAGGTTAAACGCGTAGTGCTTTCGCCGTTTCTGTGACAAGTAGAAATGACACTGCGTTCCAAACTTATGTTCTTTGTGATGTTATTATAATAAGCTTCTGTAGTACAGTACAGTTTACAATATCTGTATGATATTTATGAGGATAACAGCAAGGTAGGTTTTCCAAGAAGACAAACATAAATTGTACACCCAAAAAGGCCTGTAATGGGAAAAAAAATGAGAAAATAAAAAAACAAGAATAGGTCTTTGCAAATTCAAAAGTACAAAAAAACATTTTTTTGCTTAAGTTTTAATTATAATAATAATTGCAGTTGTGCCAATTACAGTCCCCTCCATACGTAGTGGGACATTGAAGTGTTAATAATAATTCATAATTCTTTACACTTATATAGCGCTTTTCTGGACACTCAACTCAAAGCGCTTTACAGGTAATGGGGATCCCCTCCACCACCACCAGTGTGCAGCCCCACCTGGATGATGCGACGGCAGCCATAGTGCACCAGAACGCT